GAGAGAGAGAGAGAGAGAGAGCCCACCGTGATCTTCTCGCAATCGGGTCTTCCGTTCCAATACATCCAATACATCCCGCTGTATAACGTTACTTACTCCACCGTTGCGACCTTGCGGTTAATTAAAAGCGTTCTCACGCTTGCCGGGCGCGCTCTCGGAGCCGCGATGCGAGCCGGTCCTTTTTACGGTCTTTCGCTCCGCCCTGGATTTTCGCACACAGAGAGTCACACGGCGAGATGCGGAGCGCGTACACGATCTGCACATGATTCGAATTTACAATACGGTCGATCGAAATTCCGAGAGAGCGGATGTACAAATCGGTTAGGCTACTAAAGAAGTGTCACATGTCGTAATAAATTGAAGATTGACAAATACGCGCGTGAGATCGTTCCTTCAGCCTTCAAAGTAATAATAGTTTTTGTTGCAATTAGCGACGTTGATTCTCTTAATTAACCGCTAATTGATCGTCTACTTCAAATAATCACCGCGTTAAATCCAAAGAAATGTTTTTGTACGAGATTCCACGCGATTATTAATTTTTTTATATTATCGCATCTTTATATTTTAAGACAGTTTATTAGAGCGAGAGGGTAATTAAGGAAATACTAACAACTGTCTAAATTACACTCACAAATTTTTTTTTAATTGAATAATTAATTGAATAATTCCCAAGTATAAACGTCGTTGACATGGTCAGACACGGTCGTAAAAGGAAGAGGCGCGACGCGCACGTGGGAATCGTCTGAACCTGAAGAGCGATCCCGCGATCGGGATCTCCGCAGGCTCCATGCTGGCGGCGATTTTGGATGGGGACGCTCCGATTATTCCAGGTAGCGATTTCTCACGTTGCCGTCATTCTGTAATCGTCTCGGTCGGTCGTAAGTGTACTGTTACCACTCAAATTATCTTTACGACGTATAGGACAACGACGCAACGTCTGTTCTCTAATAAATATGCTGTTATCACAAAATAGATTAACTTTCTTTTTGCGTGTAATATTATCAATTATATTATTATTATTATTATTCAACAAAAATAGATAATTTAATAATTTCTTATTGTTCTTTGTTTATATGTCGTCATAATTAAACTAAATTGATGAATAATCATTGAATGTAGTGAAATATATTTTGAGATTAAAACTTGCTTTAACTTTTAAAGTTCTTTGTTAGAGTAAACTTGCTATAGCTTTAACAATAAGTCTCCAAATAGAAGAATGCGTGAGAATAATATTTTTATTCACTAGGTTTCATTCATTTATTTTTAAAAATTTTTGTTTTTCTATTATTCATTATTATTGATTCACTAAATATATAATTTATATCCTTGTATTTTTCTTATAAATTTCTGATAATTTAAGTTCTATTTGTTTTGCCTATTTTTCGGTAGAGAGAAAATTGAATAAAAGACAGAGTTGTCAGCAGAATTATTCGAGATTGAAGAAATTCCGCTTTTACGTTTACTTTGAGAAACAGATTCTTTGCGGTCCATACGCCATGCGTCACCGAATCTAACGGTAACGTTGTTTCGTCCAAAACATCATTTCCTCTCCATACAAGTCAAACATTATCGTGTTGTACGTTTACTCTTTGTACTCGATAACGGTATAGGTATTTTGGTGGTTCATTTCATGAATAAATTATAACTGTCACCGCGAGTTTGAAATTTTTTCCCTGCGGATAATGCTGTGACAAACCAATAATTGATAATCACGATCTTTAACAAACATAATTATTTATTGCATTATTTAATAAAATATATATTTTATATAAAAATAAGTTATTTCAGATGCAATGCGCGTTTTTAATATTAATGTCTGATTGACGTAAGCAAATTTTAATTTATTCTTTAACAAAGTTAATCGTAAGATTTGATCTAATCTTACAAGTCAGTATTTATCTAGAGAGGATATTAAGGAGATATAGAAAAAAATGTACGTAAAATAGTTCCATCAAAGATATAATTTTTAATCGGTCTTTGATTCAACTTCGGTCTAATTGCATATTATAAAGCAAAAAGAATTTCAACCATTAGCGGAAAGGTAAAGAGAATCGTAAGAGAATAAAAAGAATCGTAATTTTGCGATTGCATACCTTAAGAAAAACCCACGAGTTGTGGCATAGTTAAACGTTGTACCTTAAGTAATAAACGTTCGAAGTATCACCTAGCTTTTTAAGTATTGGTATTTGGTTATAGAATAACTTTCTTCGAAAGAAGCGTTTTAATGCTTTTCTTTCATCTACTTGTTAATCTCAGATCTCTCACTGACGAGGAGTGAATCTCATGATCCGCGAGAGATTCCATCTATGCGATAATTCATCGATCGAAACTTCATTTTGAATTTACACGAATTTACCCTAATCTTTGGGTTTTCTTTATTTTTGCAAAATCAATCAAAATCGTCTTTCGATTTTCATCAAGGCAAGCAAAATTTACGACCGCCGATTTTCAAATTATAATATCAAAGAAATGTTTGATTTGTATTTTACTTACCGTGAGGAACATTTGTTTCAACTTGCGTTACAAGTCCTTTCTCGGCCCGTCCGGCGACCTCCACGTTACATTAAAATGGACCAGACTGTCCTCGAGAGAGATCGAGTAAGTAAAAAAAAAATGTATATGGATACCGAAAAAAATAATAGAATTAGGGCACACGATTTTTTCTTTCTCTTCCTTAAACACCGTTCATGTCACTGCACCGGATGTCGAGTGGGGTCGAGCACCTCCGTCCTCGCAGGTGGATGTCCAGAGGTTGACTGTAGAATCGTAAGTAACCGCTCTCTGTGCTTGGGCAGCGAGCCGGGGCGAAAGAGGGGATCTTTCTTTCTCTCTCTTCCTCTTTAGCTGGTGATAGTGGCCCCTATTCTACCTCTAAACTTTTTTCCGCCTACTAGTGAAGACGATTTGACGTGAAAGAGGGTAGCCTCTGGCGTGGCTCCCCTTTTCAGGTAGGTCATACAGATAGATAAAGCATCCAAAGTTTTTCTTTACTAGAATGACTGAAAATTAGTCGGGTTTTTGTCAGATATTCTTAAAAAAAAAAAACGATAATAAATGAGGAATGTATTCTTATTATAAATTATTAATTAAAATTTAAAAAAATATGAACTTTACAATGGTCGAAAAAAATAATTCTATAAACAAATTATTTTTTATAAATTTTTCGAATTTATTGAGTTCATCTGACACTGTTGAATATATTCAAACAAAAGAGAAAGAACAAGTTTTAAATCGAATTGTATTAAACTGTTCTTATTGTATATGAAAAGATAAGTTAAATCGAGTAATAATTATACATTTATAGAAATTACTGAAGTCCCACATTACAGGATATACTTTTTAGCTTGAAATCTTAAATAAATACAAGATATAATCAATTATTAATTGTTTTTAATGAGAAAAGTTGAAAATGATAATGTATAGATTAATCCGAGCAACATTTATATTTTAATTTTAATTATTGTAAAAAAGGAACTTTGTAAAACTTATATATTATTGGGAATTTGTTAAAAAAAAATTATATATAATTAAAAATACATATTTTCAGTATTATTAGTTCTCGCAAATTGTTTTCAATAAGATTAATATTATCTACGATAACGGACGTACAAAGTATAAAATATCATTAACTGTAAAAATATATGTTTTTGTCAAATAAATACTGCTCGGTCAATAACCATTATTTCTCGAATAACAAATTCGGTTAAATATGATACAATATATAAAAATTATAGCATACATAATTATTTATATGCAGACTTCCACAACATAAATACTTAACATGTTTTTGCTGTGTTAATTTATGTTAAATATTTTTAAATTCTATACTGTTCTAATTATATCCTGTATACTGTGTTTTCATTAATAGTCCTTTTCGAGAAGTTCGCGCCATTTCTTTGCTCCTATTGTATATTTTTTCGGGCAAGCGAGAGAGATACATATTTGGCTATCTACATCCTTTTGCACTCAAAAAAAATTCGATTAATGAAACGCAATGTACATGTAAGGCTCATATTTTGTGTCAGCATCGAACCGAAATGTTATAACATTTCATTTGTTTAAAATTCTGGACAACGGTGTTATATATTTTAATACACACTTTTGCAGTACAAGTCAGTATTTATATAACTTAATTATTTCACCGATCTAAATATAATTGTGATAAAGCATTATTAAGTGTTTATATATATATATATAATTATTTAATCCTCGAATTTAATGGAATTAACATGTGTATCTATGTATCCGCCACGGTACGAACCACGTTTTTTCTTCTGTTTTTCGTGCCGGAACTTCTTGCCTTTTGTAAATTTCAATACCTCATTAGCACGTTCTCCCCATGATCCTCGAGCACCTTTCTGTTAATTAAGAAAAAAAAAAGATATTATATATCTTTACATTTTTCTTAAAGATTAAAACATTTTACTTTTTTTTAAGTAATTAAGTATTTAAGTATAATTAGTATAATTATTTAAATATAATTACGACTTATCCCTCACCTTTATATTACAATGATTTATTTAATATTAATCATCAAAAGTAATTTTTTTATTTTGGGGTGGTGCCGAGATATCAAAAGACTTTCTTTTATCAAAACCACCTCTAAAACTTCCTTTATCGTTATTCTCGTTATTGCCCCATTTTCTTGATCCTTCGTTATTACCGCCCCAAGATTTTCTACCTTCGAAACCACCTCTACCTTCGAAACCACCTCGACTTTCGAAACCACCTCGACTTTCGAAACCACCTCTACCTTCGAAACCACCTCTACCGCCGCGAGCCCCTCTACCACCGCGACCTCCACGACCCCCTCTATCACCACCATTACTCCAACGGCCACCTCTATCACCACCGTTGCTCCAACGCCCACCCCTATCACCACCGTTGCTCCAACGCCCACCCCTGTCGCCTCCACCGCGTCCGCCTCTAAAACCACCACGACCACCCTCGTCGCGTTTTCCTTGGAAACCACCCCTACCGCCTCTAAATCCACCCTTGAATCCATCTCGTTCCGAGTCATGTTTTTTAAAACTGTTATCATTTTCATCTTCGTCCTAAAACAAAAGAGGAATAAGTCAATCGCCCATTATGGAAAAATCATATTATAAAATCATTAATGTTTTTTTTCCTTCTTGCTTTTGTTTTCAAATTTTAAAATCAGAATAAATTGGGTGAATGCACGGAAACAGAGTCTCAAGCAGGGTCGCAAGCTTTTATAAAAAGGGCGAGTGACCTATGCCTCGGACGGTTTCCGAGCATTTACCTTTGCTTCGAAGGAATTGTTAGCCAATTTAGGATCCAATACGATGTCGTCGCTTTTCACACGTTGAAATGTACGAATTTTGTTTGGCTAAAGAAAAATCACAAATAATAAGAAAAAGTTCAATCACATCATTACTCAAAGCTACCAGAGAGGCAAGAGAACATGGATGTGATATGATTAGTATTCTCTTTAATGAATATACTCTACTTTTGTAAATAGATATGATCAAATATATTCATTTTCCGTGCGTTTACCGATGTACGCTGTATTTTATATGTAGAGACAATAAACATACCTTGTTATCTCCGTTGAAACTATTATCAGCTTTCACAAAGTTGCCGTAATTATTTTTTCCAATTTTTGCTGGTGTTCTTTGTTCATTATCATCGTCCACATGTTTCCTTTTTTGTCCTTTAACTGGCATCTGAACATTTGTCTTTTCCTTTGAATCACTAGAGTCTGAATCTGACTCGTTCGAAGATTCTTTCTTAGTAGTTGTTTTTACGGGCATTTTTGCCGATGCAGTAGTTGGCGTTTCATTTTCTGAATCATCGGAATCTTCACTAGAAGATTCTTGCTTCTTCAACGTTTTGCTAATTACCGGTTTTGTTATCGCCTTTGTCGCTGGCTTTTCCTTTTCATCAGATTCTTCATCCGAATCTTCATCAGAACTCGATGAATCTTCCTTCTTTTTAGAAACAACTTTGTTAGCAACATTTTGTTTAGTGGGAACTGATTTTTTGACTGGAGTTTCATCTTCACTACTCTCCTCGCTTGAGGAAGATTTTTGTTTCTTAGCGACGACTGCGGGTGTTGGTTTCTTAGTAGCAGCCGCTACATTTGGTTTTTTAACAGGTTGCTCTTCTTCGCTACTATCTTCACTAGATGACGACTCTTTTTTGTTAATTACCTTTATTGGTACTGATGATTTACTGAGAGTTGGTTTTTTACATGCAGGTTCCTCGTCATCACTGCTGTCTTCACTCGACGATTCTGACTTTTTAATTTTTGCTGTTGTTGGTTTACTCTGATTTTGTGCTTTTGGAATCACAGTAGCTTTTGATACAACTGGTTTAGATTCATCCTCACTGCTTTCTTCTTCGCTCGAGGAAGATTCTTTCTTCTTAGTGGCAACTATCGAAGTTGATTTTTTGGTAGTAATAGCTGGTTTTTTAACAGATTGCTCTTCCTCGCTACTATCATCGCTCGAGGATTCTTCTTTGACAGTTTGTTTTACCGGTATTGTTGATTTACCAACTGTTGGTTTTTTCGGTGTAGATTCTTCTTCATCACTGCTATCTTCGCTCGACGATGATTCTGGTTTTCTTGGCGCTGGTTTATTTTGTTTTTGTGATAATCCTTTTGGAATTGTTTTTGGTGTAGATGTGTTTACTGGTTGTTTAGCAGTTTGTTTTAGATTTGTTATTTGATTATTAGAATCACCAGATGAATCATCAGAAGATGATTCACTAGAAGATGAATTAGATGGTTGAACTGCTTTTAAAACTGCCATTGCTGTTTTATGAACAGAATCAGATTTTTCTGTATTTTTTGTTTTTGCTTTTGTAGCTTTTGTTTGAACTTTTGATGACTCTTCATCATCAGAACTTTCATCAGAACTCTCTTTTTTTTGTACAGAAGCAACTTTAACATCTGTATTTGCTTTCTTTGTTACTTGGCTTTGCACTTCATCCTCACTGGAAGAATCTTCTGAAGATTCTGCTACCTTTTTAAGGGGTACTGTTTCAATTACAGATCCTTTACCATTGACTTGTGCAACATTTTTTGCTCCTTCCTCTTCACTTTCTGAGCTCGAATCTGAACTGCTTTTCTTGTTCTGTGCAACCACCGTAATTTTTTGAGGAGAATTCTTTTGAAAAAACTTAAATATTTCTTCGATCGATGGACATCCTTTCGATAGAGCAGGCTGAAAAACAAAAACACCAATAAAAAAAATTCATTGTTCATTTTTTATTACGATCAAATTTCTTTATTAATAAGTCGATATGTAGTTTAATTTGTTTTTTTTTCGTTTTTAGAAGATTTCTGTCTTAAGCAAATATCATTAAAATAATAATAGGAAAAATATAGAATCTTGAATATTAATTTGATTCGAAGTATTAATATGAATTAACGATGAGAATTCGACCGCGCAACTTTAACTTTGCAGTCGCAAGGCTTGCGAAATTAATTTTTACATATTTTTTATGTATCGAATGTCATGTATTATTCTTAATTATGTATAGTATTTAGGGACTCATGAATGCAAATTATTTTACGTGCATGACGGAATAATCGAGAGAGACCACGTTGGGCGCGTTGAGCCCACGTGGTGTTAACGAACGATACTTCAACGCCGCATGGTAGTGGCGCATGGCGTCGGACGTTCTCGCGACTTACCGCTTTTGTCTTCTTCTGGAAAACGTTTGCCAGCGATACGTCCGTCTTCATCAAGTGGTCATAAACGAGGGCAGATACAAACATCGTATCCATGCTGACTACCATGGTATCAGATTAACACGCCAATCGCAAATGAACGAATCTACGACCACTTCCTCCCGTTAACTCGCGCCGGCTTTGCGTCTCGTAATGTCCGTGGCGCTATCTTACGACCTATGTTCGCATGATATTTATAGATGGGTTTTCATATTTAGCATAAATGACTGTAGCAATGGTTGCGTTCTCAAAACATGACGATTGTACAATGATTGAGTAAATCCCGGTCTACAATAGGTGATTTAAGCTCTACAATAGGTGATTTAAGCCATAAGAAATTGTACCAATTATAGTCGATTATTCTCCTATTCTTCGACTATGATTTGTCCATTTCTCATTAAGGACTGAAGGCTTAAGGCTTAAGGCTTAAATCACCTATTGTAGACCGGGACTAAAGGCCATATCAGACTAGCGGTTGCGCGGCTACGGTTGCCGGTTGACGATTCTATTTCAGCCAATCACAATGTAGCAGATTCTGGTTATGATTAGTGTGATTGATAATAGTAGAATCGTCAACCGGCAACTGTAGCCGGGCAATCGCTAGTCTAATATGGCCTTAAGGCGATCTTAAAATTTAGCAATAATTTTCTTGTAAACTACGTTTTAATATTCCATATATTACTGATTGGCTGATGAATCACATGACGCGTTTCAAATTGTGTGATAGGTGAGAAGTTTTGGCGCGTTCGTGTGTAATTGGTCGCATTAAACAATTATATGTACCGGTCGTTTATTTTTGAATCCGATATTCGCGTAATTCCTCCGTCGAATTTCTGGTGAACAGCTGTGATCTGACTATCTCGCAGCATGACGGAAACGCAACAAAGGGCCAAGTGCATTACTCTAAAGGGTTCCGCCGAATTGGTCGCGCAATATCTACGTAAGTACGATCTCGTGAGTCAAGCTACGGGATCTCTAACCTCTTTCCGATTGCCACCTCTCATTGCAGTTTATGGAGTCAATAGTATACTCTATCAGAGAGGAATATATCCGCCGGAGACATTCGAGCCTTCCGAGCATTTCGGTTTGTTCATCTTCACGTCTACGGATGAGAAGATTACGTCCTTCCTGAATACTGTCCTCGGACAGATTGAAGAGTGGCTCGTCCAGCGCAAAGTGCATAAGATCACTCTTGTCATAACAAATGTCAACACAAAGGAAGTGTTGGAGAAGTGGGACTTCAAAGTTGACTATGAAGATCAGAAAGCAAACGGAGCGGATAGCACCAAAACTGATCTGCCTGAAGTAGGAACAAAGGATGTGAAAACTATACAGAAGGAAATACGTGAAGTGATACGTCAAATTACAGGTAGCGTCAAATGGAACTTTATGTGAGACATTATGCATATTTTTGTTACATTTATTTTGTAATGTAAAATATGTTTGCAGGCACAGTGAGCTTTTTACCACTCTTAGATTGTCTCTGTTCCTTTGATATACTTACCTATACAGTACCTGACTGTAACATTCCTAATCAATGGGACGAAACTCAACCAGTTTTTATCGCAAACAGTCAAGAGGTACAACTTAGATCATTTTCAACCTCCATACATAAAATGGATACTGTAGTTAGTTACAAAAATATCTGAGTTTTCTATATCTTTGCGTAAAAGTTGTAAATACAGGCTCCAGTTTATGTCACCTGCATATGTGTCAATCATCATTACCAAAGACTGCTTTAATTTAATTAATTGCTGTTGCGTAAAAATTGATGGTTGAATAGCATATTTTCTTGTAATACTGTAATTTAATTTAGATATAATAATGGTTGTAATTCACAGTATTTTAAATGTATTTTATACCAATATATTTTTTTTTAAAACAGCGTATCTTTTAAATGCAAGTAAAGTATCCAGAAGAAACTACAAGTACATTATAATCAAATATTGCTAGATTTGTCGAAAATGTAAATTTAAAAAAATTAAACAAGTATTTTATTAAAATTTATAACTATAATTTTTACTTTTACTGAGTATTCTAAAAATATTACAACTCTAAATATAAATATAATTTTAAGTATAATTTTAATTAAAAGAAGTGGAAGATGTATAGAAATTATAAGAATAGAAGAGGTAAGGGAAATGTATGGGACACTCTGACAAGAGAATCTTGGCAGATTTTATTAAAACATAATTGACCGTTACACTTAAACGCAGGAATTACATTTGGTTACTTGGCAAAGCATGAGAGATACAACTAGAATAAAGTATTTTCGCTTGCCGACGCTTCATAGTAATCATCTAATGTTAGCATCTTCCAATCTGAAACTTCTCTCATGTGAAATCTCGATGCTGGTACTAGGGTCTTAATCAACTTTCTAACGATTTCTCATGTCATGCTCCATTTTGGAGCCTAAAGCATTCTAAACGAAATTGCACTCAAATGAAATGTAACTTAAAAATTTAGCATTACGTTTTTTTAATTCGAATAAATCAAATTTTACAAACACATTCGTGAGTTCGAATGTAATGTATTAATGTCAGAAATGTGTATTCGATCATAATGTTTTATTTTGACAAAAACGGAAAATGGTAATAAAAATTATTTTGTGCATTACACACACTATCGTTCGTCCGCGATAATCAGCACTCCACCTGATGACAAATCTAAATGAAAAAGAATTGCTTTTTATTCAAATAATCGGCATATACTTTGAAGATTTCATATTTAGTAGTAAGCTCCTTAAAATCAATCTTAAAGTAAAATATCAAGAAATTAATAAAGTAAGAATTTTTAGGAATATATTACGTAAGAACATTATTTTCGTAATGTTATGAGTATCCAAGCAATATGTTTCATGTTTTATATGTTTCATATATACTGATCATTCTAGATGATTGATATTTAACATTTGTTTAATTAACGTAGTTATATAAAAATTTCTATGTCTGTTTGATCTATTTCGATTGCAGAAATATTCTTTTCTCTTGTAGATTTTTCATCGACAATCCGCAATTGTAATCGTATCGTTTATTTTACATAATAATTACGTAAATAAAATTCGTTCTTTAATGCAGGGAAATGTTGATATTTCAAAAACACATAGAGAGCGTAACATTTTTATTGTGTATTGTTCATTAGGCGATCATCATAAATATGGCAATTCCTCTTCAAAGAGTAGCCAATTATAGGAATAAAAGAGTATCGTCGCTTCTTTCATTTACATTTGCCATTTCGAGCGCATCTTGTCAAGATACGATCGAAGGAAGTTGTTTCGGGAAACATTGATGGCGAGCTATACCTTTAATTAGTAATTCGCCGTTACGTCTCCCTTATAGTAATTTCGCTATTAACGTTAATACTTCGTGCTGCTAGAATTAGCCATATTATCCATAGTGCGTAGTCTCTTCGCTATAAAGACTATCGCGGAACGCAAACGTCCGATTCTTGTCCGTCTGGCTCGTCTTTGAGACATACGATACTTTTGAGAAAATAGCACTTTCGAGCGTTCAAGGTTGTAAAAAATATCCAAGACTTTCGACGTACTTTTACGAATTACTTTTACAAACGTTTCAAATATAATAATCGTTATGTCGATGATATAATGATTTTTATAAATATCGAGTATTTTCTATTTACGTGAATTACATAAATTATATTAATGTGTTTTTGTTGAAATTAATGAATTAATTATTAATAAATATTTTCACGATTTGTATAACAATGATAATAATACTCTGTGATAAATAAAGTGACTTTAATTCAAAGAAATTTTTTGATAAACAATTTGATGAAATTATCGGAGTGTTCGGCAAAAAACGTTTGCAAAGTTTTGCGCATTCTACAAGAGATAATTTTAATTTCTAATGTATTGTAATGCGTTGTTTCGCAAACACGTTGTGTATAATTAAATATATATTTAAGATTTCTTACTCGAAATATTCTGTTTCTCTTCAAAAGCACGTGATTTACGCCAAAGACGGACATTACATTCGTAATAACACTCCACACTCAAGCCATATGCTCTTTAAATGTGCCCTAGACTAGTTTTGCTCTGCATTCATTTTTTTTTTAGCTCACACACTGCGAAAGCTGCTGGAGATACGCTGCAGTTTTACAAATTTATCCCGCTGGTTCGCAACATCGTTAGAGAACGGACAATGATGATAATAGAGTTCGTGGATTGGATCGTAAATTACTTAAAGTCCTCTCGTGATGTAAATTACGAAAATAGAAATTGTCATTAGAAAAGCCGATTAGAAAAGAAGTTGAACGTAATAAAGGAAACATTTACTTTTTTATAAAATTAATGAGCATTAAAGTCGGATATTTCGTGCAATATAAAAAATATTTATAAATTTTTAATGTATAAAACTGCTAATTAAAATTGAAGATGTAATAGCGGTAAAATTCTAATTTAATTATTGCAATATTGCTAATATTTTACAGATGACATTATTTATGTAGATATAACAAATGCATGATGATAAATTTGTTATGCTTCAATTTTTTGTTGTTCTTTTTTACATTGCATAATTCGTAATTTTCAATGAATCACGGTGAACAAATTATATACATTTTTTTTTTAACGGAACAGTTTTTTTTTGTCGCAATCGCTACGGTGTAACGAAGCAGCGCGGGTCGCGTCTTCAGTAACATTGCGGCAATTCTTCGTAAATACCGTAGAAACGCGTCTCTAGTAAAAACATTGAAAAATAAACCACGCGAAATAATATACAATATTTTACAGTAGCGCTTAGTATACCAGTGATTGGGCGTCGTTCTCGCGAAACGATGATTTGCGATAATCAAGATTTGCAAATCGTGCCGTCGTTCGATCGCATCGCGAGCGTCTTCCGTGCAATCGCGATTGCAACTCGCGTGGATTCTTGCGATCGTAATTTCGATCGAACTCGCTTCACGCATGAGAAGAATCAAGCGCCATCGTTAAAGCACTAATACCGAATACAATAAAGTAAACGTCCTATCGTTAATTAATCGCCGACGTGATAGACGCGACCGTATGCGCTCAACCACCGTTTCGCGGTCCCCATCCACTTCTCGTGGACCGAGAATCGATTCTCCTTAACGTGTAAAATCGCATTCGATCGCAACGCGGTTGTCCGCGCGCGGGGCGCGCGCGAAACGGCGCGCCCCGAATTGTCATTTTTATTTATACATCTCTACTTACTTAAGTTTACCTTGGACTAACGCTATATTTCGATTTACGATCGTTCTTCTTTTTCTTTATGCGTAAAATATCATAAAATACATTCTTTCTTTTGTTCACTATTCGC